AAAAAAAAAATCCAATAGGTACAATAAATATTGTGAAAGGAAAAGAACCTGATCAAAAGGAAAGAACAACTGGGACAATGGAAAGGAGAAAGGGGAAAATTAATTAATTAATTAGACAGCTAAGATAATTGTACCAAGTATTTCGATCCATTGAAAGGAACAGTTAGTGCTTATATTGTTTGATCAATTTTGCATGCCTATATCTTATAATCTGAGTAACTACTTTAAAGATAACAATATACAATAATAACTATTGTTCATTTCCTATCATCTTGATTTGCAATTGTGTATCATTTTATTGTTTTTCCTTTTCTGTATTCAAAATAAAAATATATATTTTAAAAAGACCCTGTCAAGAACATAGTATGGTTTTGGGGTTTTTTGTTTTTTTTTTTTTAAGTTGTTTTCAGTGTTTAGTTTTGCTTTATTTGGTTTGATTTGGGCTTTTTGGATCTTGCTGTAAGATTAGGTTGGCCTTGAGCTCACTATATAGTCCAGGCTGGCCTCAAACTAGCAGTAATCCTCCTGCTTCAGCCTCCCAGATACTAAGGTTGAAGGTGTGTGCCACTACACCCAGCAAGAACTTAAAATACTTTACCAGCTTCACATTTACTATACTTACTTATGAGGGAAAATAAAAATGTGGACTAGTACAGTTAATAATAAAAGGATATGAAATTACACTTGGATAGATGGAGTTAGATCATGGTCTATTGCATAGGTTGGTTAACATAGCTAATGATGACATATTACATCCTAGAAACTACTCAGAGTGGATGTTACATGCTCTCACCATACAAAAATAACTGTGAGGAGATGTATATGACCACTTGCCTAGATTCACCCATTCCAAAAGGAGTATGTACTTGAAAATGTCATATCACACACAGTTAATGCACACAATTTTTTCTGTCAATTTTAATCACTAGAAAATTACATAATTTTTATAACTCCATTATCACCATTTACTTTATCCTAAAACATTTATATTTTTAGAGCTTTCATACTTGGTAGTGACAAATAAAAATGATACTAATATAATTGATATAAAATTCTAATATAATTAATATTGTAACATCATTTATAGTTCTTTAAAACATTTTGATTCTATAAACATAAAATGCAAAGAAGGTATTGTGTAGCCCATCAATGATGAGAATGTTCTCACATCAAACTAAAAACAAAAGGCACTCACCAGACAGTCAAGTCAACCTCCTCAGATGAATGTTGCCTATAATCTAGCTGTGCAAAAAGGGGGAACAGCACTTGTACTCCACCGATTGAATGCATGGCACTTTGAATGGAATGTGTTAAAACTGCCTTTACATCCTTGGAAAATACAAAATACAGGAAAAATGGCAATGATTTCTTTTCCAAAACAATTAAAAACAAAGCACAGTGATAAATGTAGGAAGACTAAATTGTGATATTCCATTTATTCAGTAGAAGCTATCAAATACATATCTATAATCCATCCAAACTTTTCATGAGATATATTCTTAAAAGACCAGTCAATACCTGAAGCATGAGTGCATGTGGTGAATGAACAAAAATGGAAGGATTGTCCTTGGGAGACGATTCAAGGCACAGCTGGGCATCTGTGGCCCGTGGATTGTAGGTGAAGGCAATGGCACTCGAGAGTTTGCCATCATATAGCAGAAGTTTGTGATGCTCAGCAAGGAAAAGGTCACTTTCTGCTTTGAACTTAAATGTGCCCTGAGTTAATAAAGAAGAGAACAGTTACACTAATAGGCCATACAAGAAAATCTAAATGCAAACACAATGGATATAAAAATTTTAATCTGATAATTTTAAAAATGAAAATTTAGAAGATGTATCCCTGATAATTTTCCTTCCAGTGTAAAATAAGAGGAACCCTCCCTATAATATTAGTCTTTGCCACAAATAATTTCCCTCTTCATTCTATTTTCACTGAAACCTGTAAGTTTTGGTATGTTATATTTTTTTCATTAGCTGCGTTTTGTTTTAACTCATTAGTTGTTAAATTATATATTGTTTAATTTCAATGTATTTATAGATCTTCCAGATCTTCTTTGGTTAGAGACTAGAGAGTGGTTTCTAGTTTCATCCCACTTTGGTCAAAAAAGACACATGCAATAATTTCAATCTTCTGAAATGTATAAACACATGCTTTGTGGTACCCTACATTGCCAGTCCAGGAGGAAGTTCTACTGAGAAAGTGTATTCTACTGCTGCTTCAGGGACCATCCCGGATGCATGTTGAGTCTAAATGGCTTCTAATGTGCCTTATCTTCTATTGTTTTATTTTTCTTCCATTCAATTCATGACCAAAGTCTCCTATCCTATGTTGTTTAATATTATGAACAGCTTTGTCAAGGCTGCCTTCTTATGTCATACATCATGTAACAATGTTTTGATCAGTGACAGACTGGATAAGTGACAACGGTCTCATAAGAGTATATAGTCTACTGACATCATAGCTGTCTGATGTTTGTGTAAGTACACTCAAAGAGTCCTAGACAATAGTTGTACAAATACTGAGAATGTACCTACTACTACCAAATTGTGCCAATCAAAAAGAAGTTTAAAATAGTAAGTTTTATGCATATTTTAACACATTTAAAACATCATTTTGAAACTTTTAAAATTCAACAATAAAAATCCAATAACCTAGGGACTGGAGAGATAGCTCAGTAAAATAACTGGCTGCCTGGCAAACACAGGGTCCTGAATTCAATCCCCAATACCACCAAAAAAAAAAAAAAAAACTAAATTAAAAAAATGCAATAACCTAAAAAAATACAGGATAAACAATATGATAGTTTACTTTATAAAACTGACCATAAGTAGCATATGTACACATGAAGAAATGCTCAACATCATTAGTCATCAGCAATATGAAAATCAAAACAAAAATGGGGTATTACTTCATACTAAATAGGATGGCATAATCAAAACCATGATAATAACATGTACTGCAAAGGATATACAGAAATTGGAACCCACACACAATATTGTGGAAATTTAAGATGGTGAAAATGATCTGAGAGCTCTGTGGATACCAGACTCAGCAATTACATTCTAAACAGAAATGAAAACACACATCCATGCAAAAACTTATATGCAAGTAAGTGTTCATAAAAGTATCACTCATAATTATCAAAAGGTAAAACAACCTAATATCCATTAGTTGATGTATCAATAAACATTATGTGGTCCAGCCATATAGTGCAATATTATATAATAATAAAAAGAGACCAAATTCTGACACATGCTAAAATAAGAGATAAATTTAACAAACATATAATAAATGAATAAAGTCAAGTTAGTAAGCAGCACAGCACTTACTAACACTCTGAAAGCCTGTGGCAGGAGAACTGCAAGTCTGAGCACAACCTAGGCAACTTAGTGGTTTATTAAGCCTGAAAATTAAAAAAAACATGGGCTGGGGACACAGCTCAGGGTAAAAGTGCTGGGATCAATATTGTATGATTCCATTTATATGAATTACACAGAACAAAGAAATCTATACAAACAGAAAGTGGGGTAGTGGTTGTAGGGATTGGGAAGAAGGGGAAATGAAGAGTGACAGGACTACTACAGGATGTCCTCTGGAGAACAAAATGCAGTTACAAAGGAGTGATGGTTGCACAGCTATGCAACTGTACTAAAGATCAATTGATTACATACATTAAATGAGTGAATGGTATGATATGTGCTATGGGTTGGATCTCCCATACTTAATCACCAGCTTGACTGGTAGAGGGGGGTTGTAAAGAGGTAGGGCCCAGTGGGAAGTCTTCCAGCTGTCTGGGTCAAGCCTTTAAAGAGAAAGTAAGAACAAGACCCTCTGCTTCCATTTTCCTATCCCACATCCTGATTATGAGAAGAGCAGGTTTTGTCTCTTCTATTACTTCCACAATAAGCTGCTTTCCCACAACACCTAAACAAGGGGCCAGTGGATCAGGAACTGAAATCTCCAAAACTGTGAGCCAAAATAAACTTTTCTGTTCATATATACTGATTACCTGGGTATTTCTTACGGTAAGAGAAAGCTCACTCACACAATACACCATGTGTATACTGCTATGTCAACAAAGCTTTTATGTAAAAATAGCATCTACATTAAAAGCTATTGTAAGTACGCTTAAAAAGGTTTCTTAAAAAACAAAACAAAGAGGCTGGGGAGATGGCTCAGTGGAATAAGCGCTTCCCTGGCAAGCACAAGAGCCTGAGTTCAATTCCCAGTTTCAAAAAAATAAATAAATATATATATATATATATATATATATATATATATATATCCTTGACCGTCAGAACAAAGCCATCCTTTAAGGACGACAACAAAATCTAGACAGTGACAAGGTACAAACAATAATAGCCAATATCCACTTCAAAAGTGAAATGCCATAATTTAGACAATTCTCCCCAAAAGGTCAATTCATGGCTTAGTCCCCAAAGTAGGAGTGTTGGGTGGTGGTGTGAACCTTTCAGAGGGGAGGCCCAGGGGGCCCTTGGGGCTCTGGAAATGTGCCCTCCCAAGGGATTTCAGGATGTAGGTCTCCTCCTTCTCCCCGCTCCCCATCTCTGTCTCTCCTTTCTTCCAGGCTGAGTATAATAGCTCACTCCAACCCAGGACCCTATCATTCTCATCCAGAGTTCTCACCTAACTAATGAGGCCATCTGAGGGTGAACTTCAGACTCTGAAACGTGAGTTCAACAAAAAACATTTCTCTTTGGTAAGTTAGTGGCCTGAAGTATTCCATTTTACTAATACAAAATAAATGCACAATTCAAAAATCCTGAAATAACCTTGACAATGTAATTAAATAAAAACAATCCCCAAAATAACACATTAAAATTATTAGACACTTTAGGCTGAGGATGTAGCTTCAATGATAGAGTACACAAGGCCCTGAAAAAGATCTCATACTGAAAAAAGAAAAAGAGAAGTACATTAAAAACAGCAAGTATTAAAAAAAAATACAAAACAGGTAGTATAGTCATGTCCAAGTTTTTCAAGTTCTTTTGGTTTTTTTAAACAATAACTTGAAAAAAATTGCAAATAATGAAAACAAAACTTATTAAAATGGAAATTATATAAAATTAAATTTGCCTGATACAATTAACAGCACACAAGACATTTGAGGATTAGTGTTCTTGAAGGCATAGCACTGAAAATAAAACAAAAAACTTTCTTAAATTCAAACAATAAAAACAGACTTTGTAACTTGTTAGCTTATATCAGTATGTTCAAAATAAATGTGGTAAATCCAAATTGAAAACATACTTGAAGAAATAGCAAAAAGTTCTCAAATTTGACCACACCAGATACAAGAAGCAGGCTAAGCGAACATACACACACACACACACACACACACACACACCACAACCACCACCACCAGGGAAACCCATTTGGGATCCTGCTTGTCTCTCACGAGCTCCTCCTGTTCTCCTTTCCTATCCTCCATTCCTATCTGACATCTCTTCCTAAACAAATATTCCTGCTCTCAACCTGTGCTGTTCCTTAGAATACATTCTTTGATTTTGGGAAACACGGACTCAACATTTCTGACATCTAACATTTTCTTTTTTTTTAATGTATTTAGTACAGGATTTACATCTCACTCTACATCAGACTCGTAGTGATCCTCCTATTTTCAGCCTCCTAAATGCTGGGATTACAGGCACCCACCACCATGCCCAATCTCAATCGCCTTCTCAGTGCACTCTGGGTACGGGGCCAACATGGCACACTGGGATTGAACCCGGTCCCCGTGTCTGCCTAAACAGCCACTTTAATCTAACATGTTTATTAGATCTCCCTGAAAGCTCCAGGGAGAAACGGAAGGATAGACTCCCTTAAAAAGGATAGACTCCCCTAAAAGCACACTTTGAGCATAACACTGCCAAAGCCCTTCTCAAGCACCACTACTGCTCCAAGCCTTTGACAGACTGGACAGAGTCCCATCTTCAGAGGAGAAAAATAAAATCACCACACTCCCAGAGTTCCCACATTACAAGTTCTATAAACCCTTTCATGGCCTCCCACCATTTTGCTGACATGAGGCAATTTCTTTTTTTTTTTTTTTTTTTAAATCTTTCATTTACTTATTTATTTGATGCAGGGTCTCGTTATACAGCTCAGACTCTAGTCATCTTCCTATCTCACCCTAGCAGCCGTGAGATTCCATACATTCACCACCAAGCCCTGTTTCCATGGCCAACACAGCACATCCAGGGTTCCAGGGCTACCATGGTATATAGTACTGAAGATTGAGCCCAGGTCCTTGTGCTTGCCAGGCAGGTGCTTAGACCACTAAGCTATCTCCTCAGCCCTGAGGCAGTTTCTTAAAACCAGTAGTGTTTACCTGTTTCTGACAGACAAAAAAGTACCACTGAAAGAAAGAGAGGGCCTGAGATGAGTGATATTTAATTTCTAAAACTCAATGATGAAATCAAAAATTTAAAGCATATTCACAGAAAAAAAGAGACGGATGAATAAGTATAACATATCTTGTCAGAAATGTAGTGCAGATTTAAGAATTTTGATGGACTCTGGGTAGCATTTGGGACTCCGGTAAATTCTCACCTTCCATAGCTCCCACAGCTCAGACATGGAGCTTCTGCTAGTGCAGGTCCAAAATTTAAGAATTACGTAAACCTTGAGTAGCCCACAGGACAAAGGAGAGCTGCTATCTATGGGCCGAATGAGCACAGGCACTGAGTTCTCC